ATTATCTGAGAACTGTTTAGGTACTTGTACATACATATATACTGACTGCCAGTAGATATATTTATAAATATTGTTAGGAAATAAACCCATACGTCACCCCGGTACGCGCCTATGGGCTTACTCGAGGGGTTTCAAGTATTTACGGCAATGATGGGTGACTCATCGTCGGTGACGGCGGCCGGGCGGCGTTCGCTAAAGAAAAACCGGGAAGCGGAAGTCACGATGGGTATTCCAGAAACACCTCGATCGCGGAATATCTAGAAGGGTTTAAATAGAGGCCACCTCCGGGAACGAGGCATTATTCAATCAATTTAGTCAAGAGAGAATCCAGTCAAGTTGCGCCGGAATTATCTTGTACATAAACGCTGTGTAATTAGTCGTATCAATTTGAGTTACTAAGAAATAAATTGTTGAGTTTTATCCACGCCGTTTTTAAATCACCGCTCATCGTAACAATATACCTGCAGCATTACGAAACTATTCACTTGGAAATTAGTGTATACAACGAAGGGTTAAATTTGTCACCAATCTGTCTGAACGTTTTCAGGACAAAAGTGCATCGGTGATGTAAATATAGTAAGATCTTCCATTTACTTACTTGCCTTCTAGACATGTTGTGTTTCCGTATGTGTTGTTGTTCTTTGGGAACGTTAAAAAGATTTTTTAGAGTAACTAATTTTCATAGCAGATGTATCAATAAATTACTAATTTAACGTTTCAGTTACTTTTTCATGAAATGCTGAAAGCGTGAAATCCGACCAATGCATGTGATGCATCTCTTGAATTTATACAAATTGATGAAGACAAGGAACAAATTTCCACCAAAAATAAGGAGGGTCGCATTAACATATTTACCGTGACTTCATGACAGACACATTTGCTTGTTGAGGCCAAACAAATTATATAAAATATTTACTATTATGAGCCGAACATGAAGGGATGAGCAAGTGGACCTGTCGCCAAAATCTCAAATATTACCCCAGTTTCAGAAGCAACCATAACAAAAATCGTAAATAAAGATAGCGAACTAAAAAAAGTTAGGAAAGACACTGGAAATCTAAAAATATTTGAAAAGCATGCAGAGGACTAATTCGACGTCTCATTTATGAAGCGTACGAAAATAATGTTGCTTCATCGGTCCCCATATTACATACATCAGAAGGTAGCGCAATATTAAAAAATTAAGTGCAGTGACTTGTTGCGGTCTTTCTACGAAAAATTGGTTTCAAAATATCAATTATTAATAAGAGACCAAGTTTTAATAGGAACTGCCTATATCATATCTACTCGGGACATGGTTTGACACATACCTATGACACCGTTAAGAAATCATAATTTTGCTGACTCCAACCGTGGTTTTGTGGACAACGCCTTGCTTTTATAAAACCAGCAAAATATGTCAAATATGGATTACCGGTTGCTTCCGAATTTCCGCATGAACACTATTTTGTGCTAGATAACGCTTCTAAGTTATCATTCAGCGCATTAAAAAAAACAACTACGCTTTCGAAGACAGAAGAAATCAGTCAAAATTTTCATCTACAATACGACCTACATTTTGAAAAAAATTATACAAAAAAAAAATTAACTACATATTACCAATTTTATACAATCAAAAATTTGATAAACAATATAAAATATACCTACACAATGCCGCGAGAACATGGATTTGGAGTAAGGTGATCAACTCTTTCAAATGAAAAATCAACAAAAATAAGTTTTATTATCTAAATAAAAGTAAAACAGAGTAAACCAAAATTATCAAATAAATAGCAGTCCAGTAATAGTAAAAGTATATATTTTTGAGGAATGTAGGGCATGTAGTAAATTGGTAGATACATAGGTGTTATAAAATAATATATCGTGGAAGTCATTACAATACAATAGGTACATGTTTAAATTCATTTTACGAGTAATTAATAATAATATGTGTTTTAAAGTGTTAACTGTTAACTGTCTTTTCTCAATGTGTTGTAAGGTGTCAACTTTTTGAGATTTGAAAATTTAGAAATATACTTACTCGAGATAAAGCGTTGTTTACAACTGAATTGCGAATTAAAGTTCGGTTCACAATGTGTAACTTTAATTCGTTTGAATTAAAAAAAAAATATGACAGAAACAAGAAAAATCAGGACAAAATCAGGACGACCCTGAAATCTGAACGGAGTATTAAAGTCAGAATGTCCTGAAAAAAATTAGAGTGGTTAGACTTCCGCCGTAATGTGTTTTTAATCAAATAGAAATGATTTGGTAGCAGATGAAGAGTAATATAAACAGCAATAATGCGGCACCAAAATTTAATAGTGCACCAGTCGTAGGGTGAGGTAAAAAGTTTCTAAAATAACTTCGATAACGAAAATCGGTAAACAGGGCACGGTTAGTAAAACCGTGAATTATTATCAATTTAAAAGATTCGACTGATCACGACAGTAACTATTTTGATGAAATCTAAATTACAGAAGAGTGTTTACCAAATTTAACATAGAAAATACTATAGAGTAGGTATTTATTCCAGCCATACATAAATGTTGTTGTTTATACCCATCAACAATAAAATTTGCAAAAAATGTATTCAAACGGTTAACTAATAAGTAGTTATACCATCACTGTGAAGCATCCATTTTCTCACTCTCATTTTGTTAATATGAATTCATAATTCCATAATCTCCAAATTTTATGTCTGAATATTAGCAGTTGCATTAAAAAAAATACTTACTTTGTGAAACCAATATTAAATACTTTTAAATTAAGAGTAAGAACTGTGCCTTAAAAATGTAAGGTCCACTAATTACGCATTGTAAAATATTGCAACTAAATTAAAGGACACTACACCAAATTTGCAAGTAATATTGTGAAAATTACCACAAACAATAATTAGTTCTTAACAGCGATTTAGAATGTTTGTTTTGCTTAATGTTAGAGAAATTTTATGTAGAACTGTAATTTTAATTGTAATTGTAGAATTTGCATTAGAAATATTTGCCCTTTTTACTCTCCACCCGCTCGCCTAATTGTTTTACCACTTGAGGGAGATATTAGGGATGTACCGACTAGTGGCCGACCGGTCGGATAAGCCGACTATTCGGCCGTTTTTCATCGTCGGCTGCAGTCGGCGACTGGTCGGCTTTTATTAAAATTAAAGTAGTATATAAAACAATTAAACCCGGTTTACAGAACCTCAATTAAATACATATTTAATTGCGATTTAATTTTTAGCCCCGCGTTGAAGTACCATGTGACCGACTCTACGCCAATCAGACGTCGCTAATGGCCTTGCTAAATGCGCGATCAACTTAATCTCAGTTAAAATATTGTATAAACTGGCCCTAAATTGTGTTATTCTTTATTTTTGTACTGAGTTACTAAAAAAAATTAAATGTTAAAATTATCCAAACAAATTTAACACATTTTTTGGAAAACAAAGGAACTTTAGTTATTCCTTTTATTAAAATAAAACCAATTTTTAAGGTAGTCAGAGAAATAGAAAAAAAAACACACTGTCTGTCGCATTTATAAACCGGTTTTAGCAAAGCCGAACAGTCGGCCGACTAGTCGGTTTTTACTGGCCGAACAATCGGCTAGTGGGTTAGTCGGCCAGACCTACAGTCGGTACATCTCTAGGAGATATGGTTTGCAATAAAAATATATTTATCGAAAAAGAACATTTTCATACGAACGCAAAAATGAATTCGTATCCAAATCTGAAATTATCTTCAATGACTTAAAAAACTGTAAGCTTTAAATTATTTAGATATCCCGTTTGCCGATTAACGTTACCTAAATTTTCTAAAATAATAAACTCCTGCATGTGTAATAATTTATTAATCCATTTTGCGCTATGTGTGTACTACCCCATATACGCACATTTTAGGAAAAAATCAGGATTATGTAAGTACATTTTCCAATTTAACTTTGAAATTGTAAAATCGAATGCTCTGAAACCTTGCAAACATGTTACGGTTGTAATCAAAATTTTTTCGTTTATCCTCTCCCAAAAAAATTTATGACATCTCAAAATTTTGCTGAATAAATCCTATCAAAAATACGCAAAATATTATGACTCCTTACTTATGGTTTATCAAAGGATCCATAGTTTATAATATTACTTATACAGCATGACATAAAACAATTAATGAATCAGGAAATTGTTTTTTTATCAAATCACGAACGGCTCACATTATTTTCCTGAACATGCGAGTCTATAGTAGTGTTATTATTAGTACAGCCTATAACAAGTTATATTTCAGATGGCATCAATGAATTGTGCTTGAGATTGGTAGACCTGTCACCCAACTTTCCTGTTGTTAATATGTGTCAAAGGTACATAGCGCCAAACATGTGAGTCAAGATTGACAATAGCAGCACAAGAAACATTAGAACTGGCTAATTCTATTGCCAACTCAAACAAATCTTCTTGATAACCAGAAGACATACATCAATTTGAATAGGTAGGTATAGTGGAAGATGTACGTGTCCTTCACAAAATATTGATGACGTCATCACAAACATTTGTTGTAGTAAAACTCACTTGAAACATTGCATAGCATGCACCGTTATCTGTATTTTAGCAATCCACACATACCTGTATTTTGAACTATAGTCTATCATTAAAAAATAAAATTTGCTAAATTAATTTTTTGACCGTACTTTATAAGCAAGGGAAGTTTTGTCGAAATAGCCTTCGACCAGTTTTTTAAAATACGTATATTTTAAATTATTTTAGGCAAATTACTGATCCAGCAATGACCATTTCTAATTTAAACCGGTAATTTTGTATCTTTATTTTAAGGCCCATAAAAAGTCACCCCTCTATATACATTACAATGAATTGAAGCAAGCTGTTAGCAATCTGCTGGACCCTCATCAATTATGAAAGTTATTCCATATTTGTTGTGTACAGTAAAAATATATTTTGACTTTGCTCTTTACCAACTTGAAATTTTGAAACGTATTCAAAATTTTCTGAAATGTAAGAATAATTGAATATTGAATAAAAACAATTATCACCTGAAAGTTTGTGTCTTTATTTCACTAAATTTCTTTGGCCATATTAAATGTTCTAAATAGTCTATTCGATCCTCTGTGTAATACAAACCAATCCAATCACTGGATTTAACAAAAACCACTTTGTATCCTAACATTTCCAAATGTCTTTTCTTTAGCTGAAAGCTACCCTTTAATTGGGACGTTATTGTAGTGTAGGCATATTCCGGGGTCAACAACAAAGCTAGTCTGGAAGTAAATGATAACGGCGTCATCTTGTATGTGTGTTTTTACTTACCTCTTCACACACTCTGATTCATTGTGTACTACTTCATCTTTGGAATTTAAGTTGATTACAAAGTCTATTTGATATCCATAAGGAGTTACAACATTTTCAGAAAGGGCGTCTTTGTTTTGAATTATTCTTAATAAATGTTCTCTTATTTTTAAAGTAAAAAAACTGGGCTGCCTATTTTTTCCTAAAAAAAAAAAAAAACTATATATAAATGGGTACTTCTTTTACAAATATATTCTTAGAACTATTTGGAAAAGTGTATGGCTACAATATTTCTCACTTGTATCCTTCAAACGTGTTGCTTATATATGTTAAAAAAATATGTTCCTACATAACATTTTCTTTGATAAAAATTTGTAATAAAACATTTAGATATAAGTAAACCTTGTTTTATTTTGGTTCTGAAGCTTTCATAAATCAACTAATGAGTAGGTGATGACGTTCGTGGAGTAGTAATTTATTAGTCATATATGAAAAAAAAAATCGTTTCTCACCTTTGTACTGCATTTAGAGTTCTCTTTTTCTTTTTAATTTTTTGTACACAGTTGGAAAACACGATAATTACATTTAATTCAGTGAATACATAATCACACGTAACATAGGTTGCGTAATTTTTTGCACCGTTTAAGTACATAATGTTTAAACAACGCTTTTACGGGAGATTTAGTTTGATACGTACATATCATAAAGTCATCATCACAACAAAATATTAATCGTTTTAGAAACGATTACTATATTTTCATATTGTGACAGCGAACAATTAAGTTAACCGAGATTACTTATTACAAATCTATAGTGGGAATTTTGGTTTTATACAAAGCATTAAAAAATATGAAAGTAACGATTTCTAAAAGAAATATGGTAAAAGATGAAATATCCCTGAATAATTTTGTTAGAAAATATATCTCATGGAAACGCGCCACGACGATAGAATTTATAAGTATTTAGGTAAATTAATTTTACGATGATAACTAAAAATTAACTACAAGATAATAAATGGTTAATAGTGTAGAGTAGACCTTTAATTATTTGAGCCTCATGATCACATAAAATGAAAATACATTAAAGACAAATTCTTATGACGTTTAAACGGATGTTAAAAGTGGGTAGTATTCTTAGAAATTTACATGTTTTCCGACTAATAAATACATATCTTCTACAATGTAAATCTGATGCTAATCGAGGTACTTTGTGAACGATGATAAGGCGACAATCTACTTGAACTGAGAAAATAAAATTATTTCGCAACAAAATTATACCGTTTATATTTGCGCTGAGGTATTATATGTTGCATAAATACAAATGTATTTGTAACAATTTTCCAAGTACCTACATACCTACACCGATTCTAATTGTTTTCTTTTGTCGCACATAAGATGAATGTACTGAAATATTAAAAAAATATTTATATTTTTAGTTACAAATTCAACACACAAAACTAAAAATAAACATATCAAAACATTTTATCATATATCAAACAGATATATTTAACATTAAACAATTAAATAAGTGTTCTTTACTTAAGTCGAAGTTTTACTAGCTCAGAGATATGATAATTAATTGTATACAAACATGCTTAAGTCGTATGTTTTGGGAAAATTTTCCTTTTGTCGTTATAAATGCATCCATATGAAACTGATTCATTCAAAACAATTCACTAGCACATTGTTTAGAATTTGTTGTGATATAACAAATAACAATTGACTTTATATCGTACATACTTTTTAAATTGCAGTAATTCATTAAAGGTTTAAAATTTTATGTTGATTATAAATTAAAGATAAGTAGCTACCTAATATAAAGCGAAGGTTGTATATGTATGTAGTTTGTTTTAGGGAAATATTGTTATGGTTCTCACGGTACTTGTGGATTATCTCCATAAATTTATCGTCATTTAGTGTAATTTATATTATTGTCACGTCTGATAATTTTAAATTTTTAAAGGTATAAATTGCATTTACACCATCAGTATTTTATGTTCACATATCGGCATAGTAAAAATCTTTCAGCCACGTTATTGTAATACATCAATATAATTTTTCATCATTTTAGTCGTTACTTTTTGAATTATTTTTGTTTTTTTTTTCTAGATTTTTTTAAAAACTACAATGTGTATTTCTTGTAAAACTGTGTATTTTTAAAACGTAACGATACATTACCTTTAATATTTTCATCAACGTATTTTTGATGAAACCAGGGTACATTACATTCGGGATAATCCAAACACACGGCCCTGTTTAACCGCATTAAATAATTGCGGACTCTATTGGGATATTTATCCTAAAATTTCACATTAATTCAATACAATAAATATAAAATAAGTATCCATACCTTTGAATAACATTGTTGTAATTCACTATCAAGCTTGTCCATAAATTCCACATTAAAAATTGATTTTATAATAGAGTTTGGTAACTTATTGTAAAAACATAACGCCAAAGCGCTGTAAATTATAGATAAACCAGTCATCCGTTTTTGATCTCTGTTATAAATCATGTCATTAATTACAGTTTAAAAATAAATAAAAACTGTGATTCACCTAATTATAATATCCACAACGGAAGCACAAAATTCTGTTGTATTTTTAGGATGATAACCAAGAGAATAAGATAAATATAAAACTCTTCCGGCGTTAAATCCCAGAATATGGTCCTTATATGTCAGTATATATTTGATCATATTCTCGAGAAGCTCCGGAAATAACGTGTTTGTCATCAAAAAACAATAAAAGAGATTTTCCATGTTTTTGGAAGATATGTATTGAAAATTTTTATAGATGTGCAGCAAGCTAGTAATTTCGCTCATGTTGACTTTGTTTTTATAAACACAAGATTTTAACAATGCATTATTTTTCCATAGATCTTGATGGTGACTTGCACTTTCCTTTAAAATGTACTGACTGAGTGCTTCATCAATTCTTCGAGCATATGATAACTTGATATATTTTTTATCCGTTTCGTTAAACAACCTTAACGTGTATGCTAACTTTAGACAATCATTAGGTTTCAACTGGTGCCAGTTGTTTTCAATTTTTGTCACTAAATATTCTAGTACAGACAAGTCATTACCATACAGTAAAACGAAACTTAAAATACTGGCAATTTTTTGGGGGAAAAATTCGCAATTTACTTCTTTCATTAAATTAGACAGGTGTTTTAGCATTTCAGTTTCAAATTCTAAATGTCGGTAATTATCAATATCGCTACTAAAACTTACATAATTCTGGCTTATTTGTAAGATATCAATATGTCGATGTTCAGTTTTTACAACATTTAGCATTTTTTCCCAGTATAAGTTACACAGACTTACATCTGAAACTTTCAAGTAAGATAAAAGTTTTCTCAAAACGAGTAAATTTTCATAATTTTCACACTCATTTACATATTTTTTTAATTTCTTGTGGAAATTGCTTCTCATATGTGGAGCAGTAAAAAAAACTAGTATTGATAAAAGCGATATTTTTTGTGTTGTGGGAAAATCTTCCAGTTGGTAAAAATATTTATAGGAACAACGTTGTAAGTCATTGAGCACAGAACTTGGTTCCTGTATTTTGAAAAGAATCTGAAACACAATGAATAAAAAAAGCAGAATGTGATGACCGAACGCATTCATACCTCACATAAGATTAGGACTTCATTCAAATTAAAATTATTTACATCATCCTTTACTAATGACACGCACTTTGATATAAGCACCGTATTTTTGTCCCTCCATTTTGGATAATTTAAAAACGAAATTATTTGCAGTACTACTTTGTAATGTTTAGATGTAAGAAACCCATTTGCAATGAGACTCTCAACTTTTGTTTTATACTGATCTAAAGATTCCTCAGTAACGACTCTGTGCAACTTGTTTAAACTTACGCTAATGTTGCTTAAATCTTCTATTGATGCACATAATTCTAAAATACTAAAAATTATTTGAAATATTAATTTAAATTTTATTTCTTACCAATTTCTTTAAAGACTAAAGGCATAAGTTCTTGAGACATGAAAAAAGGTCTCAAACTAGTTTCACTAAAAACAGTTTCTAAAAATCGTGTTGTCGACGCTAAAGAAAATTTATCCAACAGCTTTTTCTTGAGTGTGTCACACAACAACTGCATCGTCTTTGTGTCAATAGTTAATCCTAATTTATTAAGGTAAAGAGCACAATAACTTAGAGTACGAGAATCAAAATGATGTACCTTGGTTTCAGTTAAAGTCAGCAGTTTCTGAAAATGATCTTCTTTTTGAAGTTTTTCAAAAAATTCATTTGCTGACTGACTTAAATTCTTTGTTTTGCTTGAAGAGAAGTCTTGATATATCCTCTGCAAATCATGTAGAACAAATACAGTTTGAGTTATGTGTTCATGTTCAAAATGGTTTAAATTTTTATCTATTACACTTAAAAGTTCTTGCACTGACGCACAATGGTAAATGTGTCGAAGTAGTAAGTCTTTGGAATTTTTAAATAATAAATCACGGGCATATCCTTCGTATGTCGTTATGTTTAAGTATGAGTCGTCTATCTCAGCAGTGTCGTCATCAGAAGGAGTTTCGTCTTGCGCTGGTATTCGAAGATGATGAGCAGCACTGGTTGAAATAAATTTGTTAAATGCTGAACATTTCCCATAATTGTTAATTTTAAAATACCGACACTGCAAATGGAATAGAAGAGGTTTGATACACATTTTACACCTGTTGATTAAAGGAAATAAACTATTAAGTCGCATGTTTACATATTGTAAGAGTAAGGTTAACTGTAGTAGTGTTAGGTACCGTCACAGGAAGTGACACTCAAGGTGGCAACCATATAAAATATTTTATGACAATAAAACTAAAAGCATGATATCGTTTTAATCTGCGAAAATAAATATTTTTCTTTAGAAGAGGACAATTAAAGATATACTAATTTTAGAAACGATACGCTTTCTGGATTATAAACATTTCCGAATAGAAGATAGTTCAGTCACAGTATATCATACAGTAAAGACAGCTCGTCAAATATTGGAACAACGTGTCCTTACCCAACCGTTTTGATTAGGCGGGATTTTTGAAACGAAGTGGAATATTGGTTGCCTAAATTACAAATAGAGTTCGTCCGTAAAACAATGTAAAAGGAACTGATATAAACATCGAATGAACTGAAACCAATTTTTGGAGTGTGGTATGAAGACTACGAAAAAAATACCATTTTGAACAATAAAAAAGAATTGTGCTTATATTTATTTTATTCATAAATAAAAGTCTATCACTTTACCGAGTTAATTTCAACATAAACATATCAACTACCTATTTTGTCAATGCCTTCAATTTTCGCCAAGTGTGAACCGTTTGAAGAGTCAGAAAGTGAACGCTGTTGTTTTCATCTTCCTTGGGAAAAGTATTTTGATGTTTTTGGTTGAATTTTTGTTGTAAGTTAAATTAGTGAAGTGATTCTGAGAACCTTTTCATAGTAACATGGACTACAGTGGTAGACCACCTCGTGATTGCAGGCACAATGAAAAAATCTGCTTCAGGGGCTTCTTTAAATTTCCCTTGGAATCTGTAAGATAAGAAATATAAAGAAGTATATTATTCTATAATCAATAAAAAACTATTTGGTATGCAATTTTTACAGCACAGTGAAAATTCCAATAGTTGTAATGATTTAGGATCTATTTTACTCGCAATTGAATCTAAAGAAAGTAACCAGTGTCAAATTATTAATAGAGTTTTAAGCTGAACAACTTTTGCACATAAATCTGTGGAAGTAAATACGACAGACTACAGACATCTGGACATGGGGAAACAAAATTCTTTAAGTTATGTCTGTGGATACTTAATGAAGAAATGCTTGATGAAATATACCTGTGAAACATGTAGTTATTTTGCCGTTGCATGTAATGTCATCATATATGATAAACTTCTCTGTCACTTCAACGCCTTTGATGATGATCCACCATTTTGGTAATCCTAAAGCTGGCCATTCACGTTCCAACGTCCCAGTACGATTGTAGTGGATGCAACTGTTGTACAATTCTGTTAAAAAGCAGCAGTACACACACGTTACGACCTTGCAGTTAAAAATTTGCGATCGTGATGACAACATGTCCGACAAAATGACGAAAATGTACTTTTATAGCTGCTCTCACGGTTTAAATAACATACACTGTCGAGTCATGTCCACACATGATCAAATTTCCATCCAATTCAAAACGATTGTACTGCTGCAGACAGACTTGTTCACCGACCGTCCACATCCAACCGATTTGCTTGATCTCATACACAGACGTTCAAAAACACTTCAATTTGGTCATATCCAACACAATTGTTCTGCGGCGTTGAAACGTGAGTGGCGGGCTTAAGATGCTACATGAAGCATTCACCTTTTATGTTGCAGCCCTAGAAAAACGATTTGCTTCACTATTTTCTACCAACTCAATTTTACCTTCATGTGGCCGATATATAAAAGCAGTCCTCGTAACTGTGTCCAGACCAGCATACGGCACCCCTGTGCCTTGTGTACAGTTTCCACAAGATTATTTATTCTATTTATTTGTTCGAACGCGCATTTTCTATTCAGTAAAAATAATAAATCACAGTTACAATATTAAATGCCAAACACCTAAAATGTCAAATTTGACGCACAATGTTGACATGGTGGTAAATTTTATTTAGTAACAAGGTTTGCCACTACAGTTTCAAGCCAAAATTCAAGGTCATGTCCTTACCCAACGGTCGATTATTGTTGTTCTGGTCCTAGAGATGGGCAAAATCGTTCCACGCGTGGAGCGCTACAACCGCTACCGCTACAAGAAAATAGCGCTCCAAGTAACTAGTTACTTTGGAACGTATTCATCACGAGTGGCGTATGAGTACGACGCTTCCACTTGTCCGCTTCATTGCAACTTGGAACAAATATTCCAATCTCAAGTACCAATATGTAGCGAACGGACATTCTGGACACAATAAATATTGACAACAACAATTAGGACGGGCACTCTACTTTTATTTTAATAAAAACAAAATAATAATAATAATAATAAAATAAACAAAACTACAAATATTTTTAGTCTTGTTTTCGCAACTTTCTGTGTTAATTCCCAATCTTGGAAGCTTTTCTACTGGACTGAGATTTTACAATTTTTTTCGGTTGCTATTGAAATACATGTATTCAATTAAAATTTATTTATAAGCTATTTTATACCTAAGCTTTTATATCTTTTCTGATAATGAGTCATTTATATCGACCGTCGCATTCTTACAAAAAATTACCGCCCTCAAACAAAATGCAACACTTGCTGATTTTGCCGATTGCTTTATGATAAAACCGCTTTGCTTTTTATTTTATCTGTTTATTTATATTGTTAAACTTTACTTTTGATCTGCGTTGCATACATTTTGTTTTTCTTTTTTTTTCATAAATATTATAAAATAAATACCTACTTATAAACGTTTCCTGATATCTTTTTTGTGTTGATCAACACACAATTATTTTAATGACAGAAAGATTATTCTCGTTTTTTTCAGTTCCCAAGCCCTCACTATTTGCGTTTCTTGTAACGTTTCGGACAAACGTGTTTTATGATTTCGTTCCTTGAATTTCCGTCCCGTAACTCCCGTACAAATATCGTTTCAAGTTCCAAGTGGAACGCAAAGTGGAACGTGTTACTTTTGTCGCGAGGAGCGCTACAGTCCGCTACTCGATGGTAGCGCTACATTGGAACGGTTCCTACAGTAACGACCCATCTCTATCTGGTCCGTTACGTGTATTTCTTATGGGGCTTTCAAAAGCTGTCATTACTGTATGATATTCTGTGGTTCAGTTCCTTTTCATTTTAAGTTCGATTGAGATGGTAAGCTTGTTATCTTAAAATCACTAACAAGTGTCTATTTGATTTTTCAAAATGAGAAATGTTGAAATTAAGGCAAGAATTAAAGAACTGTCTGCTATTTTAGAAAAAGCACGTTTGTTAAGCGGTTCCAGTGGTGAACTAATAAAACAGCATGATACATTTTACTGTGTCCAAAAGGGACGTCTGAAATTAAGAAAATTTGAGGTTAGTTATTCTTGCCGGCTTAACATTTTATTTATTGTTATGTAGTTCAAAATAAAGTGAAACATATTACAGAGTGGCGATTCGGAATTGATTTATTATGAAAGACCTGATGTGGAAGGACCAAAGTTGTCATCATATTCAAAAGCGGAAATCAAGGCGCAGAGCACTTCAGGTTTAAATGATGTACTAGATCAAGCTTTAGGAACAAGTGGGGTTGTTAAAAAAGTTAGACATTTATTTATGGTTGATCAAACGAGGGTTCATGTGGATTCTGTAGAAGGCTTAGGTGATTTTATGGAACTCGAAGTTGCTTTAAAGCCTGAGCAGAGTGTTGAAGATGGTGAAAAAATTGCTGTTTCATTAATGGAACAGTTAGGCGTAGGTAAAGAAGATTTACTTTCTGGTGCTTATACGGACCTATTAAAACAGAAATAAAGATAATTTTTTGCAAGAAGTTCGTTTTTTTCCCTCCACAGCCTTAGAATACCTAAATGTTGTTTTGTTTCTTTTTTGACTTCTGTAAATGACGATATCGTTAAACAATGGTATTCAAAATTACAAAACCAATTGTTAGGAAGTTTTCTAATAACAATATTATTTAGATTGTGATAACCCAAACATCCCGCCTTAAATTGACGTGAAAAAAATTGAAAGCCCGCGAAAAATTTAAAAATTCAAAATTGGCCTTGGCTGTAATGGTCTAACAAAAGGGGACCCTACGTTGTGGGAATGGCGGGATGTGTTCAGATGCAAGTGGTGGACCCCAAGGTTGGAAAAGTACCGCTAAATAAAACACAAAATTTTGCACACAATGGGGGCCGAATCACAATCGCTGTTCAGCTCCAAAAAAAAAAAAAAAACGTATTGAACTTTGGTTGAAATTTAAATGAAATCACACTAAACATTCTGAATCAATGCAAATATTTGAATATCACAAATTTAATAAATCAAATAAAATCTGAATCGAAGTAACTGGATGTAAATACACAAGTTATTACAGGCGTGTGGCAAATTTAAAATTATGGCAGTCAACAAGACAACAAAAATACTCATAAGGGCGTTCTAATCTAGGACAAGCGGAGTTTGGGGCTACCGGTCGGGCCTGTTCTCCCCCACGACGGTGATTTTATCGCAAGCCTACCTCTATCATGGACGTGCCGTACGTGCAGGCCCAGTGTTGCCACTTCTACCGAATTTTCGGTAGATCTACCGATTTTGGGTTCTGTCTACCGATTTACCGATTGAAACACCAAATCTACCGAAAAGTCTACGATAATTCAAGAAATGGTTATTTTTAATATATTTATACATTTTCAATATTTTTTTTTAATATAATTTTATTTCTTAATATTTTTTTCAGTATAAATTTAATTCTGCGGATTTGTTTAGTTCCCTCTATTACGCCCCAGCGTAACCACTATACATTTTTACAGATAGCACCAAAGCGCGGAATAATTAAAAGGGGATTTTTTTTTAATTACTTAGACAAAATTCGGTACATCCCCGAAACAGTTCAGCACCTGAAGCTATAAATAAGGGGAATATTATAGTTTTATTGTGTTTTTATTTTTAACAAAATGTTCCTACTACCTTTAGCATGTTTACTTATACAATTTTTTAAATGATCTATGTTAATATTTGTTTTTTATTTGTTTCTTTTTAGTAACAAAATATTTCTACCTTCATCATACATGACAAAAAAAAATCGTATTATTTATGTGTAATACCTTTTCTATCACAAAAAACCGATCTACCGAAAAAATGCCGAAATTTACCGAAAATTATCGAAGGAATCTACCGATAGCAAGCAAAACGGCGTGGCAACGCTGTGCAGGCCGTTACGGTCGCAAACTCACAGTTGGGTCCCGGCAATGGAGAGGAAGCCGATAGCGTTACGTCATTTCGACCGCCCCTGAATTCTATACAAAGCTGCATCTTTTGTGCAGGTGACGCGATAAATCTCGCTTGCTCGACTAGGAACCGCACTCCAGTTCTGCCACGTTTTCTGTGTTATTTAACCTCAATTCCATTTTAAATGTTCAACTTCTATGACTCTGATATTAACGACAACTGAACAAGTGTTACAGTTTCAAAAATAGCAATAAACAACATTTAAATTCGCTATACAATCTTGTGAAATTTTAAACAACAAATACTTCTTATGTGAGATTAAAATTGCACATCAGATAATTTATACGATGGACACATTCATCAACAAAATATCTACAAAACAAAACTTAGAAAGTATTTATAAAAACAAAAGATCAGGTGTGAGATAAACTTGTGCAAATAAAATTATTATGTGAGGTTAAAACTGCAGAGCATGAAATTTACGTTCAATTAAAATTGTAAGATATGTAGAGAAATATTGTATGAGGTGAAAAATTGCAAAGCTAACAAAATTTATATGAGATTAATACTTGCTACACTTTATCAACGACTCAAACAAAGAGTTTACATTATGTTAAATTATGTCATGATCCAAGTGATTGGTTACCAAAAAAAACAATTTACTTTGAGAGCTTATAATACTGTGTATGTTTATATATAACTGGTTACCCCAACAAACCACATAATAAATAAACACAAAAATATCCAGTCATCGTTGCGAGGAAAAAGCGTCTCGGTGATGTGAATTTTAACGTAGCGAGGAAATGCCTCGTTGATGTGATCAATCTTTAGCGTTGCAAGGAAATGCCTCGGTGACGTAATCAATCTTTAACGCTGCGAGGATATGCCTCAGTGATGTAATCAATCTTTAACGCTGCGAGGACATGCCTCGATGATGTAATCAATCTTTAACGTTGCAAGGAAAAGCCTTGGCGTTGTAATGATGATAACGATGATAACTGCCTAAGGGAAGAAATTATTTTAACACCCCGCCAGTTCACGGTATGAATTTTGTTAATTTAACTACCGTAAATGAACTATTAGCAAGCTTGTGTGAAGAATTAAGAAGTGTTATAATGTAACACTTACGTATATGCATCCAGAAACCTCATTCATAACTAAACAAACAAAGGTGTTTTCCTGACTAGAGCTTATTTGAAAGCAGAAGTACACAGCAATAAAAGAGCGCAGATACCAGTATTTGAAACACTATTCAGTGCGCATGAGCACTACTTTCACAGAATCAGCGGCGTCGAGAACGAACTTCCTTTACTCTTTGGACCTGTTTTGTAGACGTTCTTATACTAACGCGAGCACGTACAAACCCCAATAACAACACTTATGGTCCGCCACTGACTAGTCCATACTCTTCGCTCATTTTCGCGCTTCGCGCATTCATCCCTCCTGCTCGATGTACTTCTGGTTTCAAATAAGCTCTAAGTGAATTTCATGGAATCTTCTAGCAAGTGGTTTATTTAAATAATCCTGATTGTTAAATTGTGTTAGCACTAGTTGACGATTAAACTCCTAACATGAACTGTGATTTACAAATAATGAATCAAATTTACACTTGTTAGCGTCGATCAAACATTCTCAAGAATTCGCTACACGTGTTGGAGAAAACTGGGCGCCCTCGGCATTACGATTGCTTGTCGTTAAACAAAGGCTTCCTTTCTTTTATTAACGATAGTTAATATTAGTTTAGTTCGCTTGGTAAAGCGAACTAAACTAATTTAACTTAGCTAACTTACAGGATCTTTTTCCACCATGCTTCCACTCACGAACAAAACCAACAATGACCATCACCATGCTTTCAACATGCCGCTTTCTTCACCCAGACACCCTCTCATAACCAACCCTCTTACTAAAATCCCCTAGCGAGCTACCAACTATCAGGAAAAGAACTAAACGTACACAAGTTTAACGATTTTTTGTTTTAATTTTTTTTTCAATTTCAAATTATTCTAATGTGATTTCGCACCGCTGTTAAATAATTTCAGCGCGAAAATTTGATTCAAATTCGGTCACCACAAGATGGTAACTAGATTTACCTATTAACATTATAAAGGTTAGCAACATTTAAAAGTTTATCATGGTATACATGATTGTTGAATTAAAATTTACAGCACTTGTATGAGGAAAGAATATATTCTTTCCTCCATGGTTAGTACAGCTACCAAAGTTCTTACCTTGTTTGCCTACTAATGTTACTAATATAGGGACTTTGCATGATGGGGACTTTGGTAACTGCCATCAATCATCCATTCATAACGTTTGCAAAATTGAAAACTGTGAACTGCCATCCTACTAACATTGCTACCAATAATACAGAATTGCCAACACAAAGATTTGCTTTATTTGTTAAAACTATTTAGTAGTCACTCAGTATTTATGTCTCCTTGAACAAATTGGTGTTATCTCAAAATGCCCGATTTATGATATGGTTTAACCACAATATAAATATATTACTCACGTATACGTTAGTGAAATATCTGTATTGTGGTTCGACATTAAACTTATGTTTATATCGTAAGCCACCAATGGGTATCTAATAAAAATTTGTCTAAAGTTTGTTATTATTTAGGTTGGACTTTTCTCCTACCTGAGGTACAATTAAAGTTCAATAAGATAACTGATAAAAGCTGACTTTTGTTTTTTTTTTTGTAATGGTAATTAAAAAAAAGTTGTCTGTTTCAAGCATTTTGAGAAAATTAGATAAACTCATTTACTAGGTCATTATTTTTTAAATGGCCGTTATAAATAATTCTAAAACAAAAGTACTCGTATGTTTCTAAAGCAAATAATAACGGCGCAACTCGAAGCATATTTTTTAATAAACAATGATATTACAAAATTTGCTTTTAGAAGTCTTTTTTAGAATAACCCTTATTAAAAATATGGGTACATAAATCACAGGTAACGGAGCATCCCACTATTAGGCATTTTTCAAGCAGGTATATTGTTTAATAAAGCTTTGACATGTTCGCATCAAGTTTTTGGAAAGAAATTAGCAAAACAACAATTATAAATTTTAATTGGATAATGTAAGCATTTACCGAGACAGTCATGGGTTATTGAAGATTTGTTTTTGATAGAATTTTCAATTTTTGTCTTATCAGGTTTGAAAGTCTTTTTGTTTGAGTAAAAAATGAGATCCAAGACAAACTTTTAAAAATGCGTTGCTGTCTCTGTTCGTATGTTTTATCGTTCTCTTGATATTATCTTGTAGGTAAATTTTAATTGATATTTACTTGGAAAAATTTGGGGTCACACCAGAAAATTTTTACAGTTATTGTTTTTTCTTTAGGTGGATATTATTCTGCCATTTTAGCTCGTATATCTTTAGTTTGGAATTTCTTCTTAAAATAATATATTCATGAGTGTTGGGTTTTTTAAGTTATGGTAGGTTTTTCCTCACGCGTTGGTCCCATTAACAATTATTTTTCTTGCCCAAGATTATAATACTATATGATCGAGAAAAATCGTCGTCTAGTCAGCCACGGAATTTTGAGGATATTGGAAATTGTTCATGAAATTCTACAATGCATCGCATTAATTAGCGAG